TTTTCGTTCGCTTAAAAATTTCGATAAGTTCAAGAATTTGAATTTCCCACAAAAATTTAAACGACCTCTTATCAAGGTATATTCTCCTAATACAGAGTCGAAAAATTGGCCAAAAATTTTGATCATTCAAAAATTTCGAATTTTTTTTTCACGAATTTGACGTCATTTCTAATAATTGATGGAATTTTAATTTTTCAATATATATAATTAATTTTTTATACTTACTTTTTTAAATGTGGCCTCTAGTGGATCATTTTTTGTTTTTTTTTAATTAAAAGCAATTATAAAATTTAACTTACCTATATTTTGTCCACTTTCGTCAAACTCAAGCTTTTCGGTTATTATATTTTTAGGAAATAAGGGGAATAAGGTGAGAAATAAAAAGAAGATAAAAAATATTTGTACAAAAATATATGTTTATTAAATATTAAAGTTACATAAGTACATATTATATACAATTTAAACTTATATTACTGTATTAGAATGGTCGCAATTATACGTTGTCTTGATGCTTGCAGTGATCCAGTTTCAATTTAGAGATTCTCATTGGAATGATAGCAGCGAAGTAAGGGCTGATACATAAATCTGCTTGCAAATCATGTTGGTGGTCGATCTTATGCTCCAAGTAGTTGAATCTGTTTGAGTAATCTTCTCATCCAACCTATGTTCTCCTAAAACAAAGTCGAAAAATTGGTTGAAAATTTCGTTTCTTTAAAAATTTTAGAAATTCTTGAAATTTGATATTATTTTCAAGAATTGTCGAAGTTGTTGGAAAAATTTTGCGTGTTACCTCTTATCCAATTATATTCTTCTAATACAAAGTTGAATATTTTCGATATGAAATATTTTTCGGGATTTTTAATATCTTGTTAAATAATATAATCGAAAGAGAACTGATATGCAAAATTTTTTTTTACTTACCTGTTTCATACTTACCTTCTGAATAGTCATCTTGCCAAAGTGTTACGTTTTAATCATTTTTTAAACATTTTACTTATTTCTAAAGAACAGATAGGGAATATGGTATGGAGTTAGGAGGGTTTAATGAGATATTATGAGGATAGGTGAATTAGAAAGGATAGTGCAGAATAGATAAATAAATAGATAGGATATATAAGTTTATATGAATAAAAATAAAGATACGTAAAATATGTGTAAAGATATTGTTTTTATAAAATGTAGAATGAAATATATGTGTGATAATAAATGAATGATAATAAAATCGTAGTGGCAATTATACGCTGTATTCTGTGCATAAAGTAAAATTTGGACGCGGTCATTGTATTTCTCCTGAAATATCGTGGATGTCGATAGAATCCAATAATATGCAATTTCAAGTTTCAAAGTAAGTTCGATGGTCTCTCATCGAATCGATGTAATATAGGCTACAGGGTCGTGAACTTCTCGTTTTGCTCAACTAAAAAAAAAAAAAAAGAAGAAGAAAGACAGAAAGAAAAAAAAAGAAATAAGGAGAGTGGGAGGAAAAGAAGTGGCAAACAGCGAAGGTGTTCCGAAACCAGATGAAACCAATAACAAGTTCAATAATCAAGTTTTATCCCTGCCTCTTTTGTAACTTCGTTATGCGTTCTCATCTCGAAACTTTAAGTTCGATACACGTTGCAAACGTCCATCCAGTCTTTCGCGTGCATTCAAAATACCTTCTCGTTCACTATTCCGGAAATATTCCATTCCTTTCCACTACCCTAGTAATATTGGAAATACGCCGGATATTTAAAGTCTACGACAAATATAAATGTTTCGACGATGTGTTTTGGATAAAATCGATGGATCAATTTACGATGAATAACGAAAATGAACGATCGATCCTTTTTTGGTACATTTAACAGATTGATAGAAAATACGGTACAGCAAATATATTGCTTACCCAGAATAAAAGATGCTTGGTAGAGCGGTATTCCGGTTGCGCGACTTCTTCGCTCGGCATATGCTCCAATGACGATGATAACGACAACGTCCCTGCTTTTGGCCACATGCCTGAATCTTTTCGCCAAAATTCCGGAGTGAACGAAATGTGTGCGCGCGCCAATAAATGAAGACGAATTGATAGGATTTTCTCGTGGAAAAGAGAGGAAAGATCGTCCGTATATTTTCGCATAGACTATTTTATCCGATTGGATGGGTATGATGAAACGAATGATCGAAATTTTTTGAATGAAATTTTGGCGAGAAGAATCGTGAAGAATATATATATATATATATTTTTTTATTAACGAATTTTGAATTTTCACAGAAGAAATTTTTTTCAAATCTACCGGATAAAACTTTACCTGTGTGTATTTTCTTTAGGTTATCCTCAAAAAGTTTATCCCTCGGTGTTGTTTTAAAAAATATTGGCAAAAAACGTTTTCAGCATATTATATGCCATGCTTTATTTACGTAAATTTTCATGGAACCACGTGCGCGCGTGCTTGTACGGGACGAGTGAAAGCAAACATTTCACGGGAAGTCGCATGAAAGTGAATTACGAGAAGGAAAACTGGGTAAAACCGAGACGCAGCTTGGTATTTCATAAAAGTACCCGGCTGTTTGTTGAATAATACAGTTGCAAAATACACACTTGGTGCGTTTAAATATACTAGCAATTTCACGTATAACCGATTTAAACGAAACCGAGAGAAAAACTTTTTAAATTACGCGTTTCATAAATTTTTAAAATCCAGAAAATTTTATACGTAGAAACTGTAGGAATATCCATGACTCTGTTAATAAAAAAAAAAAAAAAAGAACTATCAAGAACGAAGAATAAAACTCTGTTTCTTTCGAAAAACTTCTCTTCAAATTCTATTAAAATTCTCGTAACTTTGAACAGCTGTATTTCCAAAGTTTAGTGGAAAGTATTACTCGAATTTAGTCTTGTTAGAAGCGGGGAATCTTCCTCTTTAAAATGCTTTTCGTTTCATACCGATACGACCTTTGTTTCGCGAGATATCGTCTTCCAAAGAAAGCAGTAATTTTGAAGAAATTTCTACCATCTCTTTCTTCGTCGCGAAACTCGATCTCTCCCTCTCTTTTACCTCATCTACTTCAAGCTCCGCTCCAGTGCGATGGTCAGTGACAGATTCTGAATCATCGTTTTCTTTTTTTTTTTTTTTTTTTTACTACCAGTAAACGCGACTACGCATTTCCAGGAGAAAATGTAGATCGCGTACACGAATGGCCATTGAACCGACCCTTGTATTTTAACGTCACACTTTTCAATCTTTATAACTTTGAAACGCTTTGAAAGATATTATTGGAATGAAACAAAAAGATCTTCGTCGACCAAGACGCTTCGAAGAAAATATTTGCGACACCTTTCTATACTTTTTTATTCGCGAAGTTCGATTCTTCCATACAATGCGTACGTTAATTTCGTCACGAGATCAAGCGTACGATAAATTTTTCACGAGAATTTTAATGCGTGCTATGTATCATTCGATCGATCACAAAATAAGAATGTTAATGAAATGCGGGAATATTTATGCGAAATTGTACGGGCCGAGTTTTGTAGGCTTTATCCCGATGCATGAATAAGGGAATAAATTAATTATTTGGGTATGCGATTTCGTGTTATACGAAATGGTGGATATATACCCCTCCGAAATAAAGGCAGAAAGTGTCCGGTTTAATTTTATCTTTCTATCCGAACATCTGCATACTTTATTCATTAGCCAGAGAGAGGGTAGCGTTCTCGTAGGGAATGGTATAATTTTCGTACAAACGTCCCGGAATTCCATAAGTGTCAGTTTCATTCCTATTACTTAGAATTTATCACGTAACTTCGCGTTACGTATAATTATATCCCTGCGACTCTATTTTTCATATCGAAATATATACGCTTTTCCCTCGAAAATTCGATCGATCGAGGAAAAAATATCCACCACGTAGAAAGCTATGTACACATATACGAATTGCCCGACAAATAACCACAAAATACGAAATTTCGATTCGAAACACCCTTTAAATAACTTTGCTTCTCTTTCAAACTTCTTCCTCCTCCTCCTTCTTCTTCATCCAACTGAAGAAACTCTCTCTCTCTCTCTCTCTCTCTCTCTCTGCA